CTCGTACGTCCTGAGTGAATCAGGCAAATTTCCTAGTCAGTCAGGAGAACAAAAAGTCTCGTCTGCGACTGTATCTCTCGTCCAGTGGCAAATTGCTTATGAAATTGCAATTTGAGCCCGCTCAGGACACTGATTTTTATTTAATTTGACTTGCCGATGCCTTAGACAACAGAGCTTTAGAGTCAGTGGAAAATATATCACATTACACGTACAGGGAAAACATGACCAAAGGGATTCGGGCAAGAACAGAGCTCCAAATATTTTGCATACGACTTTCTAGGGAGCCATGTGAAGTGACTCTGAGCCGAATTGCTATTTACTGAAGTTGCAAATCCTCAAAATGCTTTAGGCCTCTGTCCACCCAAAGTTTCGTTGTTTATCAACTGGCAAAAGGTAGTTGAAAGTTTCTTTCTTTTTCCCTATCTCGCCTCCACCTCTTTCTGACCAAAATCAAGAATAATGCTCCCACTGGGCCTGTCGGCTGTTTGTACGCTGCACGCGAGAGAAAGAGACAGACTGTTGGCTGGGGGATGCTGAATGGACATAGACCCCCTGTACTCTGTGTGATTTGTATGCAAAGTGCTGTGGCTCATGCCTGGAATAGTTCAATTTCAGGCGGCTGCTGGGTCACAGTTTTGTTTGTGTTTGTGTATTGGCAGCTCGTACTCGTCCTCGTACTCATACACGTACTCGTAGTTGGCCATATGGATAAGTTCTGCCTGCGATAAACTTGATTAGAAATGCTGGTCAAAGTTTTGTGGACACATATGTCTGTGCTCTGTGTCTCTCTATTGGAGTGACATAAAACGACATTAGTTACCTGTCCGGGACATCATATGTTGCATGCGGATGAGTTTATTTGATTTCTTTTGGCATGAGACGCATTCAACTGCGAGTGCAATGCCACAAATGCAATTTTCAGTCAGTGCATCCATCCACAGATGAGTGGAGTGGCGAGACGAGCAGCCATCCTAGCATCCTTCATCATGCATCAAACAAATTCGATAGCCTTGCCGGGGCATAATAAGCGTAAACGATGACTAACAAGATTCATGCTACGCTGTTGCGCCCAAGAGGCAAACATGCAATGGCCATCAACGTGGTCCAATCGGGTGAGCAACTCATCCTCACTCTCGCTCCTTCACTCGGTCGCCGGTCGTCGGTCGTCGGTCCTCTCTCCGACAAATGACTGTGACGCGACCGGTGGACAACGAATGTCGCGCACTTAATGCAACTTTGTTGCTGATGCCTGTTCAGCCATCCCTGCCTCCGCCCCTTGTCAACATCGGAGGAAGCAGCAGCAGCAACAACAGTAGTAGCAGCGATTGAAAAATCCCACTAGGGCGTTTTTAATTGGATTTTAAAATACTTGTCCCATGCAGCAACAGCAGCAGCAGAAGGAGCAATGGCAGGCAACATCAGGCATCACAGGCAAAGGCAGAGGAAGAGGCGGAGGTCCTGGGCAGGGCATAACATGAGCCTGCCGCTGCCGTTGCTACTGCTGCTTCCACAATCCTTCCAGCCGACAAGGCCAACATATCGACCCAAACCCACGTTAACAGTTTTGGGAAGGTGGTGAGGGTCCTCAACACGCTCGTTATCCTTGTTTCCCGCTGCCGCTGCTGCTCCTGGTCCTGGTGCGGCTTCTCCCCCTGATCGTCCTGCTGCTGCTGCTCTGCACAATTTGGTTACTTGTTTGACCAGCGGCGATTTTTCATGCCAAGGCATTTTGGGGTATTTTTTTGTGTCCATGGGGAGAATTGGGGTTTCCCATACATTAATGGCATTGCAAATTTGTATTGCAAATGTGCAAGTTGTGGCCAGGCATGAATACTCCTCTCCAGAGCCCCTCCCCCCAGCATCCAGGCCACCATTCCTCCCTCCCCAGTCCCATAAATACCATAATCGCATGTGTTTGCATGAAATCTCGTGCAACTCAATTGTCGTACCATACTTTCTATGGTAGACAGAGATTGACCCATAAAGGCCAAATGTCGCCCGATAACCAGTTGGAAACTACACAGCACAACCCATTATTATTTGTATTTTCCTTAATGCTGTAAATACAAATTAACTTAAGCTTGAGGACGCTCTGGGAGAGCTCTAAAAACAAACAACACAACTTTTTACTCGACTATAATTCTAATGACAGCTCAACTTTGGCATTATCATTAGCATATTTGATTAAAAAGTGTCATTAGGCTCAGCTCTTCTGCTTCTCTCTTCAGTCTTAGCCGCTGCCTGCTGCACTTCTCTGCACTTTTCACGCTTCTCCGGAAGTTGCGAAAACCGGAACAAGACGCTAAAAACTTGTCGCACTCACTAACATTTTAATTTCAACTAGTTGCCGAGACTCAGGGACTCAAAGAGAGGGATAGAGGGGGCGATCTACCCCATCTCTCTGGCAGTTAAGTAATTAAAGCGTTGCACTTTGTTAGCACTTTAAGAAAGACCGTTGTCCTGCCACCTGTCCTGCTCCGCTAATTCTCCGGAGTGTTCGCCGCTGCCGCTGCCGCTGCCGCTGGCTTGGCTTGATTTGTATGCAAATTGAATTTGACTTCTTCTGCGAGCACTCGTTGGTACATCAAAGCAAAAGTCGAGCTAACTGAACTGATGAGCTCCGACTTCCTTCCGTCTGAGTCACCTCTTTGCCTGGCTAATTTCCTTTTAATTAATATAATGACTCCAAGTTCGACTCACAAATTATCCCTGACGACAGTTACATCGTCGCCTGAAAAAGGAAAATAGTCAAATGGAACCATTCAAGTCCAAGACCTCAGCCTTGTAGTCAAACTTCAGTCAAAGATACACAAATTAGCTGGATGGCCAGTCATCTTGAGTGTTTGTCCAAAACGCTAATGAATATGGTAGTACGAGGGTTTGACTTGAGCCAGTGGAACTTTTCAATAAATACGAAATGAGATAAAGAACTTACGCCTGCCCTGATGTAACAAAGGAATCATTTATAAAGCAGATCCCATTTAGAGCCTTCATATAGGTGGGACTGCTACAAGCCTCCACAATGTTGTGTCAGAAAAGTTATGCCAAGAAAAATATATTTCACAGAAACATAAAGAAGTCTCCCTTAAAAAAATATTGGACAAACCAAAAGAAAAACAAAAAAAGGACAGAAAAACAAGAAAAAATAAACTTTGATTTAAGTTTACAAAAATGCTTAGCAATTTTGTTGCTTTTTTAGCTTTTTGTTGTGTGTTATTTTCTGTTGTTTTTCCATTTTGTTGTTCGCTCTCGGTTTTTTTCGGCTCTGTTTTGCAGCTGTGTGTGGATTAACAGGCAACAAAATATTTTATTTTTTATTGTTTAGCAACGCTGATTTGCACTCTTGTGTCCCAGCCCATGTCCCCTGTCCGCCTACGCGCCTTTCCGTTGTTTGGGACAGAGAAATTCTGGATTTTGTTGTCACTTCAACACAAAAAACATAAAATACACAAGAGTCGACGAGAGTCGAGTCGAATCCGCAGACGAGACGGGGGCCGAACCAAAATCCACTTGAATTTTTTACACTTTATTTTTTGTACATTTTCTGGGAGAGGAATACCAAAACAAAAAACAAAAAACGAATACGAAAAGGGGATTCGCTTCCAGCTCTTCGCGCTGTTTGCACGCGAAATTTGTGCTTGTCTGCCTTTCGGCTTGTCAGCTCGCATGTTGCATGGTTTTAGGCGGGATTTGTTCTGTTTTTCTGCCTCCACCTCTGCCTCCCTTCTGGAATAGCGTCAACTACAAAGGCAACAGATACAACCAACAGGGAAACCAGAACAAGCAGCGCAGGAGCAAAAGCTAGAGCGCAGGCCGCAATTTGGACACCCACCCATTCCGAACCCTCGCCGGGCCTGTGTCAAGGGTTTGGGAATTAGACATTTTGGAGGGTTTTCAAACGGGTAGCCATGGTCCCATCCCAGCTTCTGGGGTGGGTGCTGGAGGGTCTTAATTTTCAGCATTGTTGATGTTGTTGCATAAAAAACAGGAAAAAACAAACGAAGAGCAAAGGTTAAGCTCGTAGAGTGAGCGGCAAAAGCCCTAATTAATTCCTCGGCTTGGGGGTTGTGGAAAACAGAAGATAAATAATCCAGACTTCCTAGAGAAACTGTGCAGAATATAGTACTAATATTAAAAAGCCCAACTATCCAGGTAGAGTGCACCTGCCACTGGTGAAACTCTTATTTTGTTCTCCATTTACAAATGTAAAACAATATTTGAACCATTCCGCTTTTGCCGCATTTTAAAATCGCTTTCAAGCACCAGCTTACATGTGGCATAACCCGCACTTACTACGCCCTGTACCATGCTGTGCCCGCCCCGCCCGGAAAGTCCTTACTTTTTGTGGTTATTACTGTATATTAAATTAGCATAAATGATTTTTAATAATTATGCCATTGAAGCCGGGCCCTAAAGACTCAGCCTTGGCGCCAGCCCCAGCCCTCTCCAACCAGCAGCTGGCACCCAAATTACAATATAATGAGCGGCGCAAGTGCAGCGTATATTTTTTTTGTATATTTTTCGGTTTGAATTTTACATTCCCTCCATGCCAGTAGAGCGCAGGCCGACTATTATTTTTATACAATGGACGATGATGGGAGCACCATGAGGCCACCCTATGTCCATGTTGATTTTCATGCAAGAGTGCACGGAGCGATTCTTGCAAAAATGTTTTTTAATTGCACTTAAAATTTTATTTAAATGCCACACACACACGCATGCCGCCGAAACCGTCGCGGCTGTACGAGTATCTGATGCTGCATCAGCTTACGGCTCTCATACCCAGTCCCCCACTCAATGCCACTCAATTGGTCTTTATGGAATTTTTACTGATTTTAAAATTCAATATTAAATATTGAATATTGTGAAAATTTCCCCGTTTATTTTCGCATAGGACGTCGAATTGAGTTTACCTGACACAGTTAGTTACACGATTACGATTGATTTTCATCCATTTCCGAGTGTTATGTCTCACCACCTCTTGTATGTCTCATTTACAGGCTGCGCTTTTGTCAAATTCGGCACGCAACAGGAGGCTCAGTCAGCAATAGCCAATCTACACGGAAGTCAAACTATGCCGGTAAGTGCACCAATTCTATCCCATATTCGCGTGTGTTTATTGTATCTGAACGCCTGCCCAGACAGGCTGTGACTTCCCACGCCGCTTGGGCGTGAAATTATAACATTTTTATTTTGAGTTCACCTTCTGTCCAGGGCCCTCCTTGGCTATGCTTTCTAGAGCACATGATGGCACTTGTGTGCGAATAATACGAAAATAATGAAATTTCAAACCTGAAGTACGCGTACTCAGGTTGTTGTTCGAAAGTACTTAGCAAACTTCATTTAAGCTACAAGTGCCCGCCCCGCCCCGCCCCATTCCAGCCCGCTCCGCCCATCTCAAACTTTCACTTCACGTTTTATAAATAAAATTAGAATTAAATTAAATGCCGAGCAGCAAAATGTATTATTATTTTTCCTTTTGCGCCGCACTTCAATGGGAAATCAAGAAGCTCGTTCTACTCTAAATTTCTAAAATAAAAAAATACAAACGTAAAAAGCAAAAAGTGAGGAAAAAAATAAATCAAAATAGCTTTTGGCCTGAGAGAAAAGCGGCAGGCAGAAGAACTACCAAGGTTTGCCGCCAAGCGACTTCATTATGCTCGAATTTTGTAAGGAATCACCATATATAGTCGAGGCTGATGCTGATGCTGAGTCTGAGGCTGTGGCTGTGGCCAGCAGTGCGGCTGAATCCATGGCTACAGAGTAAAGAGCCGTTAGCTCTATGACAACGTAGCCCGGGAATTATTTCGTCTTTTTTCTCGCTTTACTTCTTGCGAAAAATAAATGAAATTTGCATGACACTTGAGTTATTTTGCACGTAAATTGCTTCTTTTGACAAACAAACAAGCAAATACACAAACCAGCTGCCGGAGAAGCAGAGGGAGGGGGGAGGAACTGGCAGGGGCTGGCGCCATTGTTGTATTTTCGGTGTTTACAGGCAGCAGAGGCATCAGCAGCATCCATCCAGTGCAATCCCAAGTCTCCTCGGAACCATCCTTTTACCACTCGCTTTCTATCGCTCCTCTTTCAGCAAACGAATTTTACATTTGGGTTTTTGTATGTGTTTGCGGGGTTGTTGCCGTCTCTTCTTGTCGCTCCATCCGTCTTTCTATCACTCTCGTTTGCTGGGATTCTCAAGTCGACAACTCGTTGCCGCATTTAAATTCAAATTCAAATATTGTTGATGAAATTTGTTGCTTAATTTGCAATTTAGATGCGTTTTAAACAAACGCCGCGCTGCTGCTGCCTGAGAAATCATGTGTTTACTTAGGCGGAAGTTGATGATGATGATGATGGCGACAGGATGGGGCAGGAATTGTGGCAGTAACTGTGGCACCAACTGTGGAAGCAACTGTGGCAGGATGGAGGACAACTCCCAGCCGCGTAATTACAGCTGTTTGTGTGTGCGTGAATTTAGGGACTCTCAATTCGATGCCAGTTGCCGTCGGGCCACAGTTACACTTTTTCTGAGTCGGAACCGCCGAAAACTTCAAAAATATAGCCGCAAGCGAAGCGCCAGATCCGTAGCTACAGTCACAGCCACAAACAAACAAAACGAGACCCAATTCCACTTGGGAGGCAAGCGCAAACAGTTGAGGTTTAAGTCAATTTCAATTTCAAGGGGATGCCGCCGTCACATTTTATAGCTGATTGCAGTCGATATCAAAGCGTATCCTGGGGTCCTCTCAATGCCTCCCAATGATCGAAAAGGGTTCTTCATCTTAGATGAAATCTGTGTAAGTTGCCCTGCCCTCCTAAAGATTTACATAATTATTTCCCTGTAATACGGCGGAGCTGCGTCTTCGCTTCAGGCCTACATCCAACTGCACTTAAACTCAAATTATGCTGGCCTGGGGCTGGAGGCACCATTTTCCGGGGGCGATACACGTTTCGAATGTCTGACCTGGACCGACCCGTGACCCGTGACCCAAGAACCAGGACCTCGAAACACCCCATGACCGACCGGCCTCGTCTCTGGCCAGCAGCATGCACATGAAGGACTTACAAACGACAGCTGCAATTTTTCACCTGGCCAGTTTTTAAGATGAGCAGCATTCCGGACCCCTAAACGAAGACTATGGCAAATTGCTGCCTTGGAAAAAATCCGTGTGCAAAGGCATAGTAAGAGCAGTAAAAAACGAGGCAAAGCAAGTTGTATACATTTTTTCTACTTGCTTTTTTTTAATTTAAGAGCGCGTAATTTGTGTATACCTGCCTGAGCATTAAGCATTTTAATGTCAGTGTGGCACCCGGACCTCTCCACCTCCCCTTCCAGAAACTTGGCTGTAATTGCAATTTGGCATTACGACTGCTGCTAGGTCTGGGTTCTTGGATCCCGGTCTCAGGTCTCTCTCGTGCAGTGGAGTGTGAGTGGGTGAGTGCACCCTTGGCTGGGAGTGAGGTAATTAGCGCTAAAACGACGCCAGCTGCTGTGTTATATAAAAATTTTAGCTGCCACACTTTTTCCCGCACCACGCATTACATTAATTATATAACCAAGTGCACAGGCAAGGAGATTAGTGGGGTGCAGCGGTACAGGGGGCACCGAATTGATTGCCTACCTGCAGGCGTCAAAGTTGCGCCAGACAGAACCGCAAGTTAATTTCAAGCTTAACAAAGTTCTCTCATTGGTGTGGTGTGGGAGTCTGTCCACTTTCCATGCCCCTCTCCTTTTCTCCCTCCAGCTGCCTGCCTTTCATGTTGATGTGCCACAGAATGCTTTTAAAAAAGAGATGCAGAAGAAGAGCATTTTTTGATTACGCCAAACCTTAAGCAGCTTATGAACGCCCCTCGTTCCGGGACTGGACGCTCATTAAAAAGGAATTTTCAGGGCGAGAACGAGTCCGCATGCAACACTGGGGCACCACCACCAGGTCCAGCAACCCAACTCATACCCCACACGTTCGCTCCGTTGTTAATCTCTTGGCACTCAACATGTTATAAGTCGCTTTTAGTGCGGTTTGCAAACGTTTTTCTAAATGTAAAACAAAACAAAAACACACAAAAAGAGAGATATGGAGAGAGAGAGAGAGAGTGAGTGTTGGCAAGGGGAAGGGGAGGTGGGAAAAGTTTACAGTTTACAGTTGTAAACAATAATTTCGTATTCACTCAACACCCACACAAGTGGACACACACCGAGGCATTTGCATAAGCCGCTGATGCGATTTTTTTACTGTCCGTCGAGTTTCTGTGGGCGCGGCTTAGAAGTGGGCACGGACCGGGCACTTGTTAATGAAAGCTCGCGCAAGCATTAAAGCTGCCGCTAGCTCTAAATGCTTTTGATTGACGAAGCGCAAAAGCCTCACTGCCAAAACATATACAAACACACAACAGAAAATACAACAGAAAATACAACAAAAAATGTAACTGAAAATAAAAATACCGCAACGCACCGCGGGAGGAAGGTGGGAAGTACCTGCACAACACATACATAAATATTTGAAATTTCATGCAGATCTCTGGACTGAAACGAGGCCAAACGGCAGTCCCGCACCTTTGGCTGCCTTCCACACTCTTCCGAATAAATTAGTCAATTAGCATTTCCATTTTTATTTGTTTTGTTTGGTTGCGAGAAAGAGTAAGTGGCAGAGGGTGGAAAGTAGCGAGATAAGAAGGGACCAGATACAAATAGTGGCCATTACGGTCGTAGGGGGAGAGACACACTTCATAAACATTTGTCACACCTTGCTCATTATGCTGTACACACACTCCCGCGCAAATGCAGGCGATGATAACATGTGTTTTCCGGCCAGGGAAGCACTTGTCACCCAACGTTATCGTTATTGTCATCAAAGACGCTTTTCCCAGCAGCAAACTCTGCTCAATGCGCATTTAAATTTCAAATTAATTTCTCGCCATGTGAGCACAAAACAAAGCAAAAAAAAAAATATCAAGAATTGAAAGAAATAAGAAATCTGCAAGCTGACAACATACCTATGGAGGGGAAATTCCCTGAATAAATACGAGTAAAGTCCGCGCTGTCCCAAAAAATGATATGCGAGGGAGCCGGAGGAGTACCTGGATCTGGGGACATCTCGCTTCCATCCCATCAAACCTGTTTTCACAGTCATTTCGCAGTGAGGGTCCCGTAAAATATGCAAAAGAAGAACCATTTTTGCGCGCAGTCCGTACTGCTTCTTTCTTTTCCTCTTACAGTTATGGGTATATTGTATTCAGTCAATTCTATGCAATAGTCAGATTCAGTCAGTTCTAGCAGACTGCAGCTTGAGCAAGCTGACAATTTATTCTACGTGTACATATATGTATAAATAATATTTTTTTCAGTTCACAGAAGATTAATGGGTATCTTTCGAGTCTCTACTTGGTGATTACTTCCCTCCACTGATTCTGATGCTGATGCTGGGGGTTCCCCATTTTATTTTCGCTGCTCATGGCTGAATTGACGCAACATATGCCAGTCGAATGCTGTGCGACTGCTGCTACGCCAACTTTTCCTCCTCCTCCGGCACTCGCTTCTTTTGTTTTCCTTCCCTCTGTTCGGTGTGTCTCGCATCAATTATGCTTTTATTTATACAACAATTTTCGTTCTGCTGGCCGTTCAATTTTCGTCAGCAGACGAGCAGAACGAGCTGAGCGAACGAGCGCCGCCTTAATGCGACTTGACAAAAATGGCGTCCAATATGGCGCAAATGTGGCTGTGGCTCTGTCTGATGTACGGAGTGCGGGCTGAAGCTGGCGTGTTGGGGGCTTCTTCTTAACGCTTGAGCGACGCCCACACACGCACACACCATCAAACGCATACATACTCACACACAGATCGCACCTTGGCGCGTCAAGATGACGACCAGGAGAACGTTCCCGGGTCTGTTCTGGGGTCTGGCTTTCTATTTTAATTCACACGCCATTGTTGCGCGGCGCCTAAAAGAAGAGACGAGGCGAAGTTGAATTTCTAATGTGCAGCAGCTGCGAACAATGGAAGTGTGGGGTGCGGAGGCGGGGCCTGTAAGGCAGGTGATTGTGGCATGGGGCAGCAACCTGATTGTGTTTCGGCTGCTTCTT